GTATGGCCATGTGAGGAGGGGGGGAAAGTTGACACGCACCTTCTCCTCACCCGCTTCCGCTCTCGATCGAGTCCTCCAGACCGATTCTGTCGCCGCGCGTAACCAGGCGCTTTGGTCGCAAAGACTCTTCGATGGGGCATGTTGGAGGTTCGTGTCAGTCGATGAGGTGCAAGTCGAGGAAGCAGCGCTTCGCGCTTTTTAGGCTGCGGGTCGTCCTCCGCAGTAAGTGGAGCGAAAGGGTATGAACCCGTCGGTCGACTGCGTTTAAAGACTCGTTTGCTTCGATGCTCTTGCCTGTCGAGCAACGTAGAGTCGAGGATTCGTCCGATCCTGCTTCGGCATCCTGGCTGATACATCGGCCAGTCAATCGCTGTAGCCATGGGAGCGTCTTTCTGCGCCGGGCAGACGCGCACTGCGAGCGGGCATTTGCGAATCGGTGCGAGACGTCTCGCACGCTCGTGTGAGCTGTGAGAGGTCCCGCAGGCGTTGGGCGCGGCTGTCGAACGTCCTGCACTTCTGCTCGAGTGTCGCAGTGCACCTTGTATCGCTTCACCGCGAGGTACCCCCGTTCACTGATGAGAATCGAAAGCGAGGGAGAGCGGCCCACGAGCGAGCGGTTGCGGCTTCTGCGAGCCGGGTGAGCTCTGCGGGTTAGACTGTGGTGGTACATGGCCGCACAGCAGAATGTACGAGTCGAGCGAGCGAGCTGGCGACATCATCCAACCAGCCCTCTCCCTCCTCCTCTTGATTTCCCTCGCTACGGCCAAACACAGCTTGCCTACCTGTCAGGGGGCCCTCGCATCGCTAGACAGTCCTACCGCGACCAGTACGGCAACCTCACGACAGCGCTCGTCGCCTCTTTCTCTCCTCGACCATCCCCTCTTCCTCCCGACTCGCAAGCCCTTTTCCTCGATGCGGCCCCGTGCAGCGCGAATGTGGCCGGACGCAGACGACCCTGAGGATGGACAAGGCGTGTTCTCGGCTACCGCGACGGGTCGTCTGCGCCAGGGCGAAGTCACTCGTACGGGACGTCCTCCGACCCTCTTCCCTCGCATCGATCGTCCTCGAGTCGAGGCGCCCGCACCTCTACTCGACGCATCGACGCGTCGACAGGCTCCCGGGTCCAGTCTCGCCGAGCCGGAATCGCCTGCCTTCGGAAGCGCTTCCCGCTTCGCGCCTCGCTCGGGTCGCCAGACGGGCGCCGTCCTCGACACGTACTCGGCCGCCCAAACTGGTCGTCACCGTCAGCGCAGCTCGCTCCCTTTGCCGCCGACCCAGCATGCGTCCCTTCCGCCTTCGAGACTTCTGCACCCTTCCCTTCGCCACGACCTGCGTCGAACACGGCCTCAACGTCCGTCCGCTCAACTCTTGGGCGAGGAGAACACTATCAGAGTCTTTTTGACCCCCTCGTCGGCCGGAGTATCGCTAGCCAGTCCGTCTCGGCCTACTCCTCGACCTCGTCGACCTCGCTCAAGACGGCGCCTTCGCCCTTCGACTTGCGCCCTACTCTCTACCCGGCGTCGTCCACCTCGTATATGCCCGAAGACTCGGCGTGTGTCCCTTTCGCTGCCGCATTCTCGCCGCCGAGTCCGAGCCCTCGCGCCGACCAGCGCCGTCACGAGGACGCCTCGCCTGCGCAGTCGCGCCATCCGCCCATCCTTCGACCGTCTCCCGCCTCGCCCGCCGTGCCCTCTGGTCAGAGCGGCCCTTCTTCGCTCGCATCGCCTCCAGACCTTCCGCCGCGCGTTACAACTAATCGTCCGCCTTCTCGCCCGCCGTCTCCGTCGAGACCCTTTCGCCGGGACGTCGAGAACAATGCCTCGTTGACTCAGGCAACCGCTCGACTAGCCGCAACGCTGCGTCGCGGCAGCCCAGAGGGACCTGCGGGGAATCTGCGCTGGCTGACGACCCGTCGTTCGTGAGCGGTCTGCAAGAGCCGCCTGGCGTCGATGACCGAGAGTTCGACGCACTCCCACTGAATCAGCCGCCCAGTCGAGCCTACAACACGGACGAGTCGGCCAGTCGCCATGCCCTTCGCGCTCCTTCGCCTCCTCCCTCCCCCGACGCTTCTACCTCGCCGCCGCTCGCACCTGCCTCTCCGCCTCCGCTGTCCTACCCACCGGACGCCGCAAGGACGCAGGTATCACCGCAGAGTCTCCCTCGTCAGAAGCGGCGTCCGGCAGGTCCGCCTTCCCCCTCGCCCGACGCCTCCACCTCGTCGGCCGCCGCACCCGCCTCTCCGACTCTGTCGCCTTTCCCGTTCGATGTTGCGAAGGCGCAGGCGTCGTCGCAGTCTCGCCCGTACAAGAAGCGGCGTACAGCAAGCACGACCCGCTCGAACGGCGAGTCTGCGACGCCGATCCAGTCAACGCCTCCGCCTACCTCGGAGGCCGCGGTCGACAACGGCCGAGTCGCCGAGATGGTCGATGCGACGACCCCTCCGCCGCCTTCGGACTCGGAGCCCTCCGACTCGCCCCCTCCTCGTCCCGATCTGCGCTCTTTCTACGTCGGTCTGCCCCGGCTGCCTCCCACCGGTCCCCTCTCGTCGGCGTACAACGTCAAACTCCTCAAGCAACTGGCCGATTCGTACGCCGCGCGAGACCTCAAAGCCTTCGCGAGCCCACCCCAGGTCGCGCAGTCTCTCGCGCAGGCTCAGTGGCGAGTCTCCGGAGGCAAGGACGGCGACTTGCAGGAGCCCGATCCCAACTTCATCTTCCTCACCGAGTACGATGCCGCTTTGAGGTTTTCGCGCGACGTTGCCGACCGGTACGAGATCGAGCTCGACGAAACGCGCAAATTTGTCATCTGCGGCTGGACGGCGCCCAGACATGGGCATCACGTCTTCTACGGTGACGATTGCAGGGGTCCGACTGCGGCGATCGTGCGGGCTCTCGATGAGGCGGTCGTCCGCTGCTTTGAAGTTCCGTGCGCCTTTGTCGTGCGTCCAGCGCTCGAACTGACTCGTCAATCCGCTGACTGATATGCTTCTGTCTGTAGGACGTAGAGGCCTTTGCGCCGACTCACGACGAGACCTTGCGGTACAAGAGGGAGGACCCGAACAAGTCTCGCCGATGGAGTCGACGGGCGGACGCGATGGAGGCGGAGGCGTACGGGAGTGTGTATCGCGGCAAGTGTCGACGTGCTCCTGTGTACTCGTCGTGCGCTGACCTCGGGGGATTCACAGCGACTCTGCGCTTCGAGAAGGCGCGCATGGTCGGCGCGCTCGTCCTCGGGGAGGTGCCCGCTTACTACCTCGGCCTCTCCGAGCTCGGCTTCCCTGTGCTCGAGCCCGAGTTGCGCGGCCCTTCGCCACCCAGGCCGATGCGCTACGCCCTCGCCCCTCATCCCCGCTCCCTGGTCAGCAACAGCGACAAGGACCGATTCTCGCTCGGCTTGTTTGCCCAGGTCCTCGCGGTCTTCCAGGTGTTCAAGTCCAGTGGCGACTTTCCTTCGGTGCGCCTCAAGGACGTCTGGGAGGCGTTCCGCACCGCCTACGGTCATCGCAAGGTTCCCGACTGGTGGGAGGTCCGCAAGGTGCGTTTGCGCCTGCGCCCCTTGATCTGCACTTCCTAGCGCTGAGTCGCCTTCCCGCAGCTCCTGCGCAAGCACAAGGCCGGCGGCGACGTCGACCCCGACGACGACGACCTTCTCCCGCAGGACCTCCGTCCCGCCTCTTGGCTCCCTGTACCCGTCTTTCATGCAGCCTCCAAGCGTGGTTGCGGCGCGCACATCGGTGCGTCCCTCCCTTTTCACTCGTTCGTGTGCGAGGACGGCCTGCCAACCCACGTTCTTCCCAGTCGTATCCCGCTCGGCCCGCCACGTCGAGACTGGTCGTTACCTCGCCGTCGTCCCGCAGCACTGCCCGGGATGCGGAGGAGACCTGACCGAGGACAACGTCGATTTGCGCGCGTCGCTGGGGGTGGTCTTTGCGGCGGACGTGTCTCGCTTGGTCGAAGAGGGCAAGGTCCTTCGGGACGCAGTCGTCGAATTGCTCGACGAAGACGAGTAGGAGCTTGCATGGCAGCTTGTCTTGTGGATGTAACACTCGGGCGCGCTCTCTCCTCGGCGCTTCGGTCGCCTTGCGCTCTCGCACCGGCTCGATCTCGAAAGGTGAGTCGCCCTGTTGCTGTCTGCCGTCGGGCGTCGGGATCGGGAGGCTTTGCTCGCTCTCTCGCTTCGGAGCCAGGATGACGAGCGACTTCTCGCGGGTTCATGCGGTCATCGTCCGATGACCATGTAGGAGGAGGGGGAGGAGGAGGGCATCGCCTTGCCTGTTCGACCGGGTTCACACGCTGTGGTTCTCCCAATGCGTCTCAAGCCCAATAAGGTAAGCTTTACCTAGCTCGGCTGCGAGGACGCTCTCCGTTTCGCTGGCTCTTGTCCTCCTCCTCGTTGCCTCGCCGTTCGCGTCTATCTACCTCTCGAATTGCGTCCCGCTGGCTCTGGTCACTCGTACACTTCCTTTCCATGTGTTCCTGCCGCGCTGCACCGCCTAGGTGCGCTTTCGACACCCTTCTTTGCTCCCCCTCGCAGTTCCGCCCTCTCTCGCCCGCTCGTCTGCTTTCCCGTCCGAGAGAGTCGTGCTCGTCCCTGCTCGCAACTTCTTGTGCTTCTCTTGCGCGGTGGATGGAGAGGACGAGCGCTGCGATCTCGAGTTGGGAAGGTCAGTCGGTTCCTTGTCTTGTTTCGCTCGACAAGGAATGCAGGGGCGCTTGGATGGTGCTGTGCGCTGTAAGGGGTCTTGGGATTGAGCTGAGCGCGCGGGCGTCAGCGTACGGTGATGCCACCCCATCACATTTCGCCTCCTCCGCCTCTCCCGCTCTTCGACTTCGTCCCTCTCGACAACTTGTTCCCGACAGGTGCGTGGACACTCGCAGGCACTCCCAAGGATCCCAGTAACCACTCTACACTGGTCCGGTACACGACCGACCGTTCGCGCCGTCGCTCGAGGCTGACTCTTGTCGTCCCATTTGTCCCGCAGCGCAACCTCGCCGGTCGTCCCTTCCACACACGGCGAGTCCGCCTCTCCTCCGTGTTACAAGCGCCGAGCTGACTCTCTCCGTGCCGTCCGAAGACTCGAATCGCCGCAGCGATGGCCTCCGAGGGCAACATCGTCAAGGGTCCCGCCTCGTCCGCCGGAGCAGACGGTGGCGAGGCGCCGCAGAGCAGCACTCAGAAAACAGTCGAGCGCGGTAGCGGCGGCGAGCACAAGAAGCGTAGGAAGACCCGCAAGGAGACTTTGTGCGTCCGTCTCTTGCTCTTGCGGGCTTGCGACTGGGGTGGCTGACCGTTTTGCATTTCACCCTGACGCCCATTCGCAGCTCCTCCTACATCTACAAGGTCCTCAGGCTGCTCCATCCCGGGCTGGGCATCTCGAACAAGGCGATGCTCGTCCTCAACTCGTTTGTCAACGACATCTTCGAGCGCGTCGGTGCGTCCCTGCTTTCTGCTTCCTACCTTCCGCGCTCACTCGACTGTCCGTCTTGCCCGCGCAGCTACCGAGGCGTCGAAGTTGGCGAGGTATAACAAGAAGGCGACCATCTCGTCGCGCGAGATCCAGACTGCTGTCCGCTTCATCTTCCCCGGCGAACTCGCGACGCATGCCGTTTCGGAGGGCACCAGGGCTGTCATGAGGGTGAGTCGGAGGAGCAGCGGCATGTTTTTCCTCCACTTGGGCTGACCTTGCCCTCCTCTTCCCTCTGCAGTTCTCGAGCAACAGCAAGTGAGGAACGCTCATCACGCCTCTTCTCTCGCCAAGTCTTCTCGTTTCGCTTCTTCCTGCTTTTTAGTCCAGTAGTCACAGCGTCGCTTCAAGTTCGCCACTCTGCCTGCAAAGACGAGAGTGGTCTCTTCCGACGTTCGGCGCTTTGTACTGCCTCGTGCTGACAATCAGCTCGTTCTCTTTCGACACTCGCACGTCTCACGACGCCCGCGACGCTCTGGCTTGCTCGTACTGACGACCCGTCGGCTTCGCTTCGCCTCGCGCCGCGACCCGCTTCGTCGGCTTGCGCTCCCTCCTCTCGCTCGAAAGGGTCGCCAGCTGACTACGAACGCACACGAAGCGATGATCCGCTCCTGCTGTACCGCATCTTTCTTTGTCCTGCGTTCACCGACTCTTGGCTAACCCGCTGTCCTCCTCCAACGCTGCTCGACCCCGCATCTCTTCTTCTGCGGCGACCGCGACGCTGTGTGCCGCAGCTCGTGCGTAGTATGAAGAGTCGCTTGCTACTGATGCCCCAGTTGCTTGTAGGTCTCCAGCGCGGGCGTGCGAAGTGAGAACAACAGGTGCGTCCGTTCGTTCTCTTCCAAGCTGGGCGCCAAGGGTCGACCTCGTAGCACTCGGCAGGTGCGCAAGGAACTGCTTTCTCGGTGTCCTCAAGATCACTACGCTCCATCTGCCATCGCCCCTCGCCTCGCCGCTTCGTTCGTCCCTCGAGAAAAAGCTGGTGTCGCTGTTGCCCAAAAGATTGACTTACTCGGCTGCGTGTTCCGCCAGTCGGACTCGCAGGACGTCCCAATCGTCCTGAAAAGCTGATGGGACTCGCGGGCGCGCCTCGAGCGACCACCATCTCTTCGCTCTTCGTCGAGCCAATTCTGCTCCTCCTGTCTACAATGCATCGTCCAAGAACCGACAGGCGGCATCTCTCGAGGCGGAAGCAAGCCCAAGGACTGCAAGGCGGAGTCAGTGGGGGAGGGGAGGGCGCCAAGCGGCGGCGAAGGTGGCGGAGATGACCATTTCGCAAAGGTCGCGGTTCTGACTTTGTCATGGATGGTAGAACGACAATTGCCTGCGTCTCTGAGGTGCGTGCTCCACGCACGCAGGGGTCTACGCCTCGCTAACTTGGTCGCTTCCGCAGTGGAACCTCGCCGCTTTGTCTGCCTCTTCGAGCGCAATTCTTGGGTGCGTCCCAGTCCGCATTAGCGTTCTTGCCGTCCCATGATCGAAATCGATCCTCGACAGCGTAGAGATGCAACCCGCCAACGCAAAGCACCTCGTGGCATCCTTTTATCGTTCCCTTTCTAGCTGCCTCGTCGTTTCCGCCCGTCTACCTCCACTTCCCTTTGCTCCTTTCGCCCTCGTCTCGCCTCGATGCGTCGCCTTCGCGTTCCGACATCGCTGACCCGTCCCCCGCTGCTCATCCGGACCCGTCTCTGGGCCGCTCGTCCATCACATCGCCGCCGTCCTTTGCCCTCCGCCTGCAAGTCATCCAGCCTCGTTGGCTTGATCCTCGGCCTGCGCCTTCTTGGGTGGATCACGCCAGATAAACCCTGATGGCGCCCGGGCGTGTGCTAGTCGCGGATGGACGAGGATGCGCGAGTGGGATTCGCGGGCTGTCGTTCTCGTGCGGGCAAACGCGGGGCGGGAGGGATGGTTCAGATCATTCGCTTGCAATTCAAGTGCTTTCTCTCTCTCTTTTCGAACTGGCTTGGTCGGGAAGCGAGAACTTGTCGAATTCACAGGCGAATCCCTATCCTCAAGAGTGCTGCGCCTACCGTCAAGCGTGTCATGCTGCGAGGGTGCTTCGTCGCGTGCTCGCCTACTCGTAAGCCCTCCAGGTCGTCGCGCCGCCCGCGCCTGCCTGCCTCACGTACTGAACAACCCGCCAAATTCCTCGCTTTTTCAGCGTGCAAGCAATGTGCGGTCCGACTGGCGCGCGTTGCTGCGCAATGTGCGCCCTCCGCTCGTCGAAGAAGGCTCCTGCGATGAGGCCGGACGAGAGGTTGGGCGGCGTCGACGAGAGGAAGCGTGAGAGCGAGCAGCTTGCCCTGCGCCACGCGGTGCGCGGCCTGCTGGCCTCTGCCGACGACAGCGTGAGCTCTTTAAGCTGGCTGAACTGCGGGAGACGGTCGCAGATGTCGGTCAGTTTGCGTGCGAGGGTGCCGTTGGCGTCCGCGCCGATCGACAGTTCTTCGAGGTGAGTGCGAGTCGCCAGGGTGTCGAGCACATTCGTACTCCCGTTCCAGCCCTGCAGGTGCACGCTGCGAAGCTGGCTCGTCATCGTCGCGTCCAGCAGCGACTGGCTGATGGCCCAGTCTGCCGAGGCCCATTGGTCGAAGATTCCGAGGACAAGCCGGTTGAGGATCAGCGGACGCGACACCTGCGTCGTCGTCAAGCCGCCCGCCGTGAATCGGTTGCGGACGAGGTAGATGGCGTACAGCGTGGTCGTGCGACTGAACAGGCTTGCGGTCTCTGTCACGCTGTCGAGTTCGCGCTCGTCGTGCAGGACGACTGTCATACCCAGGCGCTTGACGCTCGTGCGTGCGTGGGCGGAAGCCCGCAGCATCAGGTGACGCAGCTTGTACGCGTCGACCGTTGGCATGACGAGCTGCTCGATGCCCTTCGCCTTGTTGAGGACGTCGGCGAGGCGGGCGAGTCCCTGCTCTGGCACGAACTGCAGGTGTCCGCAGCTGGCGTCGAGGCGGACGACCGAAGAGAGCGCGGTCGGGTTGGTGGCGAGCTGCGCCGCCCGTTTCATCCAGCATCGCCCGCCTTCGCCGAGCTTGACGGTCGCCCATCCTGCACGCAGCGCGTCCTGCTTCCACCTCTTGCACACGCGAGCGAGCTCGACTGCCCTCGTGATGCGCTTCGTGTCGACCAATCCCTCGAGCGACCAGGAGAAGATGCCGTAAAGCACGTCGCTCGGCAGGCGGGTGGCGTCCATTGTGCGTCTCGAGAGAGTCTGCGTGCAGCTTCCGAGCCCTGTCAGCTTGCTCGTCTGGGAGGGCCATCGCGGCGGTGAGGTGGGGAGGAGCGCACCTTGCCTCTCGTTCCGGCGATCAGAAGATACGAACACGAGTCTGAGAGAGCAGAGCTAGCGGATTCGAACGCTCACGCTGCAGGGAGCTGGATCGTGAGCGGTGTGAGTGGTCGAAGGCAAGGCGAGTTAGGCGAGCGGGGTTGGTGGGTGAGCCGTGACTTGTCGCTCGGGGCGGCCTGGATGAAACTTGTGTGGTCTGCTGGGACAGGTCAGGATAGTCTAGCAGTGCTTCCCATTCCGGTCCGTTCAGTGAGATGTCGAAAGCGGCCCTCGACGAGCGCTTACAAAGTTTCAATACAAAAAGGCTATGTGAGCAAGTGTAATCGCAGTCGGTCTCTCATTTTGAGCTCGCCTCTGCGCTTCTCCTCGCGATCCGCGTGCTGACGACACGCTCGCTAAGCCTCTCTGCTCGTCGTCTTGTGTTGCTCGTAGCTGCCACCCACCCCTCCTCCTTCTCTTGCTCGAGTCGAAGGTCCCGTCCAGCTCCTGCCATCTTGGCTACCCGGGTTCGTATTCGAAGCGCACGCCGTGCAGGCAAACGAGGCGATCGAGTGGTGAGATTGGTCGAAGAAGCGGGCCAGGCGGGCCGGATTGGGCATTGAGAATGCGAGGGCAGCGGGCGGTCTCTCGTCGACACGAGGAACGGGACGCTGATGACGAATCCGGTGTGTTTGGGTTTGCTCTGTTGCTGGAGTGGGTGTGCGTTGAATATGGCTAATTTGTTGTGTCGCAGGCCAGAGACTATCCAGTCGTCGACGCTCGTTCTACCCGACTTCGCCTCGATTTGGCTTTCGTCGACGTAGCTTTTCTCGAACTGCTCGTAGACTCGCCATGTTGAGCCGGCATGATGCTTTCCTACACCGGCTCCCTCTCGCGAGCATCGCGCTCTGGGTTCGCGTCTATGCGCCGCCGTTTCCAGCCGCCTCGGTTGAGCACGATTCCGGGGAGGGCGGTCTGCAAGGCTTCATTCTGTGCGTACCCGTCGTGCTTGGCCTCGTGGCGGCAGGCTGACCGATAACTCGCAGGTCGAATTGGCCGGGCCTGACGTTCCTTTCGTCTGCCTGGTCCACCCGCCGAGATCCATCGGCCTCGCCTGTCTCTATGGCCGCCTGGATTGCAGGATGCGCTTGGATAGAATCGGTTTATGTGGTCGAGTGAAACCCTCGGACGTCTTCTGGTACGTCGCGTTCGCTTCTGCTTGTTCCTCCCCTGCTAACCTTTTGGTTGTTTCCTTTTTCGCAGCCCTCGTTCACCCCAGCCATGCGCTCTTCGACCGTTGCCTGTATTTTCGCCGTTGCCTCACCGGCAGACTGCCATCCGTCCGTCCGCGTCGACTCGCCCTCGAACCCTACCCGCCTCGGCCGACCGCCTCGACTATACCGCCGTCTTCTTCCGCCCGATGGCTACGACGCGCACGATACCCGTCCGTCGGTCGAAACCTGCATGCCTCTGGCGCGTACGACTCGATCCTGGCCGTCCGCAACCGTGACGATGCGAGCGGGTTTGCAGGGTCTCGAGCGGCGAGGCTGCGCGTGAGGATGGGATGGGGCGATAGATAGCGGTTGTTGGGGTTGGGGAGTGACGGTCTTGCTTGGGAGGGGTAGAGCGGGCGACCCGCGTCCTCGTTGGCTTCAAGGACGAGTCCGAATCCCGCTCCTCGACTTCGGCCTCGACTTCCGTCGACATCTCGCTCGGTTTCTCGTCACCAAGACCAGCCAATGTCGAACCCGCATCATTCGGGACCTGTCCCCGTCTTCCTCTATCGCGTTGTGGTCGCTAGGAACCCGCGCTTCGCCTCCGCCTGCGAAGGTGAGCACGATGGACGCGGCAAATGAAGGCGTGGCTCGTGCGGGAGGCATCCATTTGGTCAAGCAGGGGTACGTGTGCGGTTTTCTGCGAGAATCTCCTGCGACGGTCGACTGCGAGGGTCCTCGAGTCAGGCAGGGCTGTTTGTGGGACGACGAGGAGCTTGAGCGGGTCGAGTGAGACGGTGAGCCTGAGGGTGTAGGGACTCGGTATGTGGGAGAAGGGTGGATTGTGAGCGGGTGTTCAGGTGTGCAGCACACGGATCGACGCCGGTCTGAGAAGGTCCGAATCCGCGGCCCGTTTCCTCGTCTCCCTCGCCCTCTCGCTCGCTCCGTTGACCTCGCTGAGCCTCGGGAGAGCGTGTTACACGACGCAGAGTCCGCTCCGACTGCTCCGGACGCGGTCCGGTTGGTTCGCTGTGGCTCGCACAGCCTCCACGTCCTCGCCTCTGTCCTCTCTTCCTCCGTTCACTCTCACTCGCCCGACGCCCTCCGGACTCGACTCGTGCACCATGACCACCGACGTCACCCTCGGCCGCGTGTTCCCGACTCCCCAAGCATTCGCCGAGGCCGTCTCGCCGCACTTTGGTGCGCCGACTCCCTCGCTCCTCCTCTCCGCTTTCGCTGACGCTCTTCTCTCGGCAGCTCGGACTGGGTACGGTTCACCGACACTCGACCCCTTTCACAACGCCGAGCCTGCAGTCGTCGTGGTTCGGTGCCCGAGGCCGTCCCAGACGCGTGCCGGCTGTCGGGCGCGGTTCGAAGCGATGAGGCAGCCGGCTGACGGCACATACCGCATTACGAACATCGAGGTGCGACACACTTGCGACGACGACCACGACTGCGACGAAGACGAAGACGGCGACATTCCCATCGACCTCGGACCGTCCCTTCCTCTGCCGACGTCGACGCAAGGAGGCTCCTCGTCGGTCTCGTCTCCGGCCCAACCCGCCACACCCGTCGCGCCAAAGGCCAAGCGCAAGCCGAATCAGCTCGCCCGCAAGTCCGGCCACAACAAGGCGCCGGGTCACAACAAGGCGCCATCCCCCTACGGCGGCCGTCCTGTCGCTCCTCTCTCGCTCACGGCCGGCAGCTCCGCCGCTTCGGGTGTTCGCCGCTCGCACGAAGCCCCTTCCGCTGCAGGCGGCGCTGCTGCGCCTACTCTCGTCGGCGCCGCCGCTTCTCCTCGCCGCTCGACCTCGATGATGGCGCCGCCTGTCTCTGCCCCTCCTCGCCAGTCGCTCCCTTCGTCGTCAGCCTCTCGCCTCCTCCCTTCGAATCCCTCCGCCTTCGCCTCTCTCCCTTTCGGTCCCCTTCCAGCTCCAGGACCGGTCGCGTCGACTTCGGCCGCAGCCGGCGCAGCGCGTCAGCCTCGAGTCACTCCGCGCAGCGCCCTCCAGGCGTTCGCGCACGCTGCGCTCGGGGTTGACGACCCGCGAGGCCCGACGGACGCCGCACTCGCCGAGGCGTTCCGCGACTTTACGACCATGGCCGATGACCTTCGCGAGAGGCTCCTCTTCGAGTGGGTGGCGCAGGGTCGCCTCTCGCCGGTGGAGGCGTCGGACATCGCGGCGCTTGCGCGGGAGGGGCGGAGGGCGATGGGTCGCCGTCCTGGCAGCATCTGAGGTTCGGGCAGGAGTCGGTGATGGACGGTTGGGACGCTTGGGCGGGGCTTCGCTTGAGGGTACAGGGCGTGGGGCGGTGATTGCTTCGCTTGGTAGGCTCGTATATAGCAGCACGGTCTAGGATGTCGCAATGTCGATAGGCTCGTTGGTCTTCTTCCAGGCTTCCGTCTCTTGCTCGCTCGACTCTGGCCTCGTCTCTCTCCTCTCGTCGCCCGAATACTATGCGTGGTGCAGGAGATTGAGGTGGACAACATGACGAGCCGGAGCAATATGCACGCATGCGCGAGGTGTGAGGGTTGGCTTGTCCCTGCCGCTTCGCGCGGTGGTCTGATAGCGCCGAGCGCGCAGGAAAAGAATAAGCAGCGTGTGACGCTCTTTACGTGCGGTACATCCGCCCCGTGCCGTGAGGGTAGGAGGAGGAGGAGAGTAGAAGGAGGACGCCAAGGTTTCGGCTCGTAACTCTGCGTCCCGATGTCCCCACCTGGCTTTCGGTGGCTCGTTGGGTTGCTCTCGCGCTGCTCTATCATTCCGTGGCGGCTTGGGGAAAAAAATGCATAGCCTCGCCCCTGGATCTCGTACAGTATGGTTTTTCCCGCCCTCCCTCCGGACGTACCGTGTTTGAGACATGCTCAACGCATCAGCGCGGCCTTTAAGACCTTCTGGATGGACCTCGAGGTGCAGGAGCAACCCAGGCGTTGGACTACTGGGTCGGCGTTACTGCCAGATCCCGGTGCAGTCCCAGGGTGGTCGGCGATGCCAGATCCACTAGCTACGGGACCAGCCTAGCAGCTATTTGACCTCTTTGAGCAGCCAGTGCCCGGTCAGGCCTGTCTTCAAAGGGAAGAGTGGGTACGAGCATCGGACGAAGCGGTGCAGGGCGAGTCCAGGCGCAGAGCGGGGGCTTCAGTGGAAGCGGTACCCCATGTGCATCCTCAGAGCGGCGAATAGAGCGCCTTGATCGGCTTTGAGGTAGCGCAAGACGGGCGAGCGGCCAGGTGAGGAGGGTGAGGGGAGGACGACGGGGTGGAGTGCTGGCCAGCCCCTCTTCCCCTGCGGCGATCGACCTAGGGCTCGGGTGGGACGCGCTTATCAGTCACTCGATTCCATCCAGAGCGGACTCCCCCCTCCCCTGTCTGTTGATGCGTCAGGAAGAGCTCGTTTTGGAGGGGCAGCTGATGAGGATGGAGAGGTCGCAAGCGGTGTGAGCAGAGCTTCGCGAGGTGGGCGGACACTGTCGTGGTGCTTACAGCATGATGTGAGGTGGTTCTGCGGTACAAGCAAGCCGCTGCAAGCGCGAGAGGCGAAGGGCTTGAGGACAAGGTGCTCCCTCGTCGCTCCGTCTCTTGCATCCGCCCCTCTCAAGCATTAGAGGGCGACGCACTGCTACAGACCGCTCTCTCTACCTCTCGCACTCGCAACCACGTGCCAAAAGCGCGCGCCATGACCTCCCTCCTCGGCCTCCCTCCACCGCTCCTCAATCAGGCTCAATCGCGGATGCGAGTGCGCCAAGCGTTGAAGTTTGCAGGGCCGCCTTATCCAGGGCAAAGTACCGGCCTTTACGACGTTTCTGTCCGCCAAACCCTGGCCGAGATCCAGGCGCACTCGGGCAAACAGGTCCAGCAGCGTAGGATGGAGAGGATCTGGCAAGACGCAGAGCGGGACCGACAGGCGAGGGAAGACATTCCGGCCAACAAGGACGTGCGGATCTTCAGTGCAGACGGGCGGCCAGTGTGTGTGATCGTGCGAGGTGCTTTGAACCAGACGGACACGGCCGGCGTAAGCAGTCCTCGCGTCTTTGCTCTCCCACTATCCATCTGACGTGGTCTTCACACCAACAGAAACCCTACTCTGAGCAACTTTCCGCCGCCCTCCGCTCCTTTAATCTCGACTTCCCGCCGAGCGCCAAGACGGCAAACGAGAAGCGTCACCTCGGAGCGCAGCCCGACTCGCAACTGCAACGAGACCTGCTGGCGGGAGAGACGGCCGGAGTCTTCCACCTTGGCGAGTGGGCGGAGCAGGGCAGGAGTGGAAACGCCCACGCCGTCAAGGTGACCTCCGAGACTTTGGAAGGGCAGCGAAAGGGTCTCCGTGCCGCGGCGCTCGTTCAGCTCGTGCGCTTTTTCGTCCCCGCGTACATCATCCTCGCCATCTTCTCTTCGTATCTCGCGCCACAAGCGGCGACGATCAAGAACAAGGTCCTTCCGCCGTCAAGGACTTTTCGTACTGGGCGAGGTTTACGGTGAGTTGCTTCCTCTCTCCACCAGTATCAGCCAGGTGACATTCTACTACCACTTCAGCACACACCCGCTACCACCTTTACCGGCACCGCCGTGCTCTCTCACCTTTCATCCCTCACGCACCGAGACGCCTCCAACTCCCGCTACTTCCTCACCGAGATGGTTGTTGTTGGCGACCTCCACGGCGGCGAACTTTACTTGGAGGACTGGGGCCTGGTGATTCCGTACCGGTCGGGCGACACCTGTCTCTTCTATGCGTCGAGTATTCCGCACGCAATCCTTCCTTTTCTCGGTGCGTTTCCGCACTCCTTCCCTGATCCCCTCATAGTCTCCGACGCATTCTGCCTGCAGGGCGTCGCTACTCCCTCGTCAACTTCACCCACACAGCTGCGATGAACCTCATTGCCCCTCCGGTGCGTTCGGACGATAACCCCCTTCCGCATATTTGTGCTGCTTCCGCCGACCGCTCGGACCCATTAGAGCTTGATTGCTGACACTCTTCTCCTATCGCTGCGCTCGCAGGACCTCGCCGCCCAGCTCAAGCTTGCCGAGACGTTCGAGGAGCCTGTGCACAACTCGCAGGAATACGTACAGGTGCGTTCCCTTCTGCTCCTCTTTTACTCGTTTGACGGCTGAAGCTTCCCTACCAGCTCACGACTAGCCTCAAGCAGCGCCTCAAGCTTGCGGAGCAGGCCAAGGAGCGCCAAGAGGCCATCAACGTCGAGAGCGCCGCGGGTGCGCCCGCAGATGTTCCTCTCTTGCTTGCAGAGGCTGACTTTTTCCTCACGCAGGTGTTCACAGTCTCGCAACCCACCTCAACCGCCACCCGGGCTCCGCCAACATCCCTCCACCTCCCCTTCCTCCTCTCGCTTCCCTCACGCGCAACCCAGCAGACGGGCACTACTCTCTCCGTCCCTAAATACCCGTACCAGTCTCTCCCTGAGCTGTGCATCTCACGATATAGCGTGATTGTTCGATTTCGCTGCAACTCGTCTTTGTCATTCTCGAGCGAGACTGGGTTATGTCGCAGCGATGCCTCCCAGCCGGTGCCTCCTTTCAGACCAGCTACGAAGGGTGTGCAGGGCGATGTAGTCGATGACGGCGAGACGACGGCCGGAGAGGAAGTTGCGCCGACGAGGCGTCTTCAGTTGGCGTCCTTGCACTGCAGAAAGAGAGAGCGAGCGGTTTTGACATTGTTCCTCGTCCCTCGAGCGGAATCTCCTTGGCCTCGTCTCCCTCACCTCACACCGCTCGAACGCGCTCCGCCGCGCCTGCTCTGCTTCTTGCGCAACGACAGCTGCAGCGTCGCCTACCAGCGCCACGCCCAGCTTCGCCCAACCCGCCGCGTCTCGTGCACGGCTCCATCCTAGAGTCGGACAAGTTGTGGTCCACGACACTGCGCCAGCGCTCGGCAGGGATGATGCGGCGGGAGATCACGTCCGTGGCGTCCTTTCGCGAGGGTCTGCCAAGCGCATCACGCTCCTCGCGACGAGGACTAGGCCGCCGAATCCCGCTCCTCCTCTTCGCCGCGACAATCTGCTTCGCCCTCACCGTTCTCCTGCGACGGTCGAACACGAAGGAGGCGGCAGCGGGTGCGGCGGACCTCGAGGCGGCGGATCAGCGGTTACTGAAGGTGTTGGTCAAGACGAAGGAGGCCATTCAGCAGGAGACTCCGCTCGAGGACATTGCGGCATTCGCAGACCGCGCAAAGGTTCTCATGGTGCGTCGAAGGGTTGAAGTGATGCCGAGGAGGCCCTGCTGACCCGCTCGGAAACCGCAGGAACTGGACGAGTTCGGCTCGAAGCTGAATGAGACGTACCCTCGACTAAACGCCTCGACAAAGGCGCTCTACTCTCGCTCAATCTACCACCACCACCAGCAACTACTCCAAAGTCTCTACCCCTACATCAATAAGAAACCGCAAATGCCTCGAAGTCTCTCCGGCCTTCGCGCAAGATACACCGTTCCTCGAGGAATTATCGTCCCAGTCGGAAACGACCAGTTCATCTACGCCGTACACCTCCTTGCGACGATCGTTCACACCCACGGCGTCAACTTCCCCATACACGTCGTCTATGCCGGCAACGACGACCTCGTCCCTGAAAAGCGGGCAGCTCTCCGCTCGATTTCGCCCAACATCGACACCGTCGACATCCTGAACTACTTCGACGAAGAGCTCGTTGGCATCCACGGCGGAGGCTGGGCGATCAAGGTCTTTGCGATCCTCGCGAGTCCGTTCCAGGAGGTCATCATCGCAGACGCAGACGCCGTCTTCGTCCAGAACCCGGAAGTCATGTTCGACGACCCGGGCTACAATGCCACCGGCACGCTCTTCTTCCGCGACAGGGAGATCTTCCCAGGTGACGGACAGGTGCACGAGTGGTTCCACGGCGTGATGAAGGGTCGCGAGCCGTCGGCGCAGCTGGCTTCGTCGAGGTGGTGGACCGACATGGCGTCGCGTGAGGAGATGGAGAGCGGAGTCGTCGTGTTTGACAAGCGGAGAACGAGCGTGGTGTACGGGTTGCTGTACGCGGGATGGCTGAACACGCGGGTCGTGCGGGAGGAAGTTACGTACAAAAATACTTACGGTGCGCCGCCCGCTCTCGCTCTTCACCTTCGTACGGGAACCAGGCTGACGCTCAGGTGCTGCAGGCGACAAGGAATCGTTCTGGATGGTCCGTTCCTCTGCTTCGCTCATCGTTCTCCTTCGCTTCCTTCGGCTGACCGTGCCTCCGCCCTTCAGGCCTTCGAGCTCTGTGGCCTCCCTTACCACCTCGACCGCGAATACGCCGGCATCATCGGCCAGCTCACACACACCGACACCAAGTCGCACTCGATCGACACCTTTATCCAGAGCGACCACCTCTTTCACCTCGATCACAGTGCGTCGTACACGTCCTTTGCGATCTTTCTGAGTTCTTTACGGTACTCGAGCGATCCGCTTAAACATGTGCTTGGCTGCGCACAGAGGGCCGGCCGCTTTGGTGGAACGGATCGCTCTTCCAGGTAAGCTGGCGATCCTCTCCATCACAGGCGGCGCAACCTAGCTGACGCTTTTTCTCGCTGCAGGAGAAGCGCGTGAAGGACCGGTAAGCTTTCACGCTCTTGTCGGAAGAGCTCGCGTCGGTCATCTTTCGACCTTCGCTGTCCCTGCTCGCTTACTCGCTCCCAAGCTGACTCCCTTTCCTTCCGCGCCACAGAGGCTACCTCATTGCGACACACTGGGCGCCGGGAACGGTCGACTGGATCTGCGACACCGAGCCATGGAGCATGCGAGTCGACATGCGCGACGTCCGCAGCCTCCAGAGCGACGCCAACTTTACCCGCGTCCTCACCGACATGATCGGCTCGGCCATCTTCTGGGAGGGCAGGTTTCCTCAGCTACTCGAGCGACACTATGCGACCGACTCGACGACTGCGCCGCAACGCTGGCGATAGAGGGCTGCTCGTACGTTTCTTTCGGTTCTTGGGAAGTCGTGTATACCCCCTTCGCATTCGTACCCTGTACACCCACTCGCGCAACCTGCAACGCAACCCTTGGCACGCCCCGACGTGCTTTTCTGCTCGCTCGACGAGGAGAGGTTGCTCCGACATTGCTCAATCGCTTGTCGCGCCTCGCTGGTGTGCTTATTACCTTTTCAGAGGACAGTCGCAAGCTACAGACCCGCAGAAAGACGAGGTTTGCGATGAGCCTTTCGATTTCCCCGTCCCCTTCTCCTTGTCGCGCTCGCCCTTTCCGGTCTTTACCTCGTCGTCCGCCCGCCATGGTCAGTCTGCGCTCGCTTGCTACAGCTCAGAACACGCCCAGCACACGCCTCTATCACGCCCTGCATCGCGCATGCCCGCCAGCGCCAGCGCGAGCCGTCGGGTCGAGCGCGAGGGGACGCAAATTTGAGCGGGCGAGGCAGGGCACACGCGGGCTGGATGGACGGACAGCGGTGGTCTGGCAGGGTGCAGGAGTGTCGGAGTGGCGGTCTGACACGGGCGCGAGGCCGCTGCGTGCGCTGGGAGGGCTGTGACGGGACTTGCGAGGAGGAGGCAGTCGGCACGAGCTGGGGAGGAGACGTCGCTCGCTCGCTGCGCGCTGGGAGGTCGCGTGGAGCTACTGAGGGATAGCAGTGCGTGCTCTGTTTGGACTGAGCACCAGAACTGACCTTTGTTCGGCTGTCGTCCGCCCTTCCCACCTCTCTCAGTCCGTCGCCGCCAAGGTCCGTCTCCTTTCGCCTCGCTCGCTTGGAGCGCCTAACTTACCATGTTCTTGCCCCCCGCAGATCTTCAGGACTGCCAACGCGCCGCGCACCGCCCCGGACGCCACGGAGACGTTGGTCGCCCAGGCCCTCCTCGACCTCGAGAACAACGTCCCGGACCTCAAGGCCGAGCTCCGTCCCCTCCAGATCTCGGCTGCTCGCGAGGTTGACGTCAAGGGCGGCAAGAAGGCTATCGTCGTCTTCGTCCCCGTTCCCCAGCTCAAGGCGTTCCACAAGATCCAGGGCCGCCTTACCCGCGAGGTTCGTCCGCCGTTCGTTCGCAATCCAGTTCGTCGAGCTGACTGAGGTGTCCTCGCAGTTGGAGAAGAAGTTCTCGGACCGCCACGTCGTCTTCATTGCGCAGCGCCGCATGATGCGCAAGCCCACCCGTGGCTCGCGCCAGAAGCAGCAGCGCCCCCGCTCGCGCACCCTCAAGGCCGTCCACGACGCCATCCTTGAGGACCTCGTCTTCCCGACCGTACGTCCGCTCTCCCTCACTCGGCTCCCTGACTTCGTCTCTTCCCCCTACCGTCGGCCCATCCCTCCCTTCCTCTCTCTCCCCTCTTTCGTCTCGCCGTCGTTCTCTCCTCCTCGTACACACGCACACCTGCATCCGTCTCGACCAGCTCGCACGCTGCGAGGCGGTCAGGAGCCGTACGAGGTTGGAGAGGCGCGGCGGATGAATGCTTGAGCAAGTGATGGGATACCTTTGTGTTGATTGCGGCTCGCCCCCCTCCCTCTCTCTCTCTTCGCCTTCACGCATGTAGGAGATCACCGGCAAGCGCACGCGCCAGGCCGTCGATGGATCCAAGACCATCAAGGTCTTCCTCGACCAGAAGGACGCCACCAACCTCGAGTACAAGCTCGACTCGTTCTCCTCGGTCTACCAGAAGCTCACTGGCAAGGTGCGTCTTGTCTCCCCTCTTCCTCTCTCGCGTGCGTCCGTGTGGGCTGATGAGGGTTGGTGCGCGAGCAGAACGTCCACTTCCAGTTCTCGGAGTAAAACGCACCGCCCTATCTTTGGGTCTAGTGTTGCAACTATAGGGCCTGGGCTCTGGCGGTTGACGGACAATTCGCGCGACGAGGGATTCGAGCGAGCGAGAGAAAATGAGAGCGTGAACCGTTCGTTTCTGCGTCGAGAGGATCATGTGGCGGGCGAAGGCTGTCGGTCGAGAGGCAGCCGATCAACGATGCGACGACGGGCATAAGCTGGCTGTGAGGCGGTATTGAGCAAATCGGCGCGTCGTGATGGCCGTTCGAGGAGAGCGAGGAGCGAAGAAGCAAGTCCGCATGCGCAATTCCTGTCGCGAGGTCTGCGCCGACGTCGCGCAAGTGGCTCAAACGAGCATTGATCAGCTCTAAGCGTCGCATATGGAGCCGGAGACCAGCGAAACCAGCAGGAGCCTGAGGAGACCTTGGGAGAACGGAGGGAGAAGGACTTGGCACCCGCAGTTCAGCGGATCCGACGGCCTCCTTTCTTCGCGGCGCATCCTGCGTCGCAACGTCGCGGCGAACACTTGCCAGCAGTTAGCAGTTAACTGCTTGGCCCCGAACGAAGAGGCGAGAGGAACAGGCTTTGAGTCCGTCGTCCGCCCGTCGATGTCGGCGCTCCTAAACGCGCTGCATTGAGCGACAACAGATCTAGCAAGCAGAATGCTTGTGAGCGTTTGAACGAGTAAAGCAGTCAAGGTGGCGCAAGGAGACGGTCGCGCGGGACAGGACGGCGTGGCGAGCGCCGTGAGGACGAGGCCGGGTCGAGGACAAGTCGGCGACCGAGCGAAGGGACCCGGTGTGTTGCGGGTGGCAAAGTGAGCGGCCAGGGCGAGACCTTGAGTAGTGAAGCGAGGGACGAGGAAGAGGTCGGCGAGTTGTTCCGTTGCGTGGCAAAGTCAAGTTGCGGCTCGCGCTCGTTCTTCTCTCGCCTCACTTCACCTCGTCGCATTCCTTTCCTCTGTTGGTGAGCCACACTCGAGCACAACTCACACACACTCAGCCCAGTTCACACTCCCAACCCGCCAGTTCATACCCCTTGACGCCATGTTCGCTCGTGCCGCCGTCCGCCCCGTCACCCGTGTCGCCGCCCAGCGTCGCGCCGCCTCGACCACCGCCGCCCCGGGCGCCCCCAAGACGTGCGTATACGCCGCACCCCCTCCCACTTGACCCGCGCCGCTGACGCCTTCACATCCCGCTTCGCCCGCCTTGCCCTGGTACTCGCTCGCGACAATCTCCCCCCAATCTGCACAGTCTCTGGCAGACGTGGTACGAGCCCGCCGCCATCCCCATCTGGGTCGTCGTCGGAACTGGTGAGTCGCACTTCCACTCGCCCGCGCAGGGTTGGCGTCGGGATCAGTACGCATCACCTTGCCGGGGTTCGAGGGCGACGGATCCCGAGGGCTTCTCCGCGCGCGGACTGGAGATTGCATGGGCGCAGTGAGCTGACCTAGCATCTGCTTGACTCGCGACACAGCTTGCTTCGGCGCCGGTTGGTGTGAGTCTCGCTTCCTCGCCGTACCCCTTCGCTTCCTCGGGACTGACCTTGTGTCGGTCCACTCTTCGCAGACCTCACCCGCCTCGCCCGCCACCAGGACGTCATCTGGGACCGCCACGGCAACCCCGAGGTTTGTCCAGCTCGCTCGCCATTTCACCCCGATCTCCTGCTGACATCGGTTTACCCCCTCAGCCCTGGAACAACGTCCAGCCCGGCACGCTCTCCAAGCTCTACACCCACCACCCCGAGAAGTTCGACCGCGTCTACTCCCGCGACCGCTTCTAAGCGACTCGACGTCACCCCTCTCGTCGCATAGACCCTCCTCTTTCCTTTCTCTCTCGCCCGACTTCCTTCGCAGTACCCGCCTTCCATCCTCGCTCCTCAAGACTAGGATCCCGCCACGCCGGCTAGAGGTTCATTCCCCGGCTTGCGCAACTTGTTGTGTAGACTTTCCCACTTCCCTACAACCCTCTTTTGCCCATAGAGGTTCTCTCTCTCGATACGCGTATATCCCTCCCTCCCCTTGATCGCACTCGGCGCGATCGAGCATACTATGCCATGTCATGGGGTTTCTCGCTACCCTTCCAGCGTTTCGTTCAGCGAGTTGTCGTCCTCGTCCGTCTGTTCGCGTCGCTCTCACTCCTTCACCTCACTGCGCTTCTCACTCGCTAGCCCCCCTTGCTCTGCTCACACCCTCTTGCTTTCCGCTTCTGCGCGCTACACCCACCAGCGAGTCGCCACCCCCTTCCAGCTCTCCTCGCACGCATGCACCGCCTCCGCCTCCCCCTCCTCTCATCGCGCGCATGACAACCCCCTCGCGCGCGTCCCTAGCCGCCGCACTCCTCAGTCCGTCTCCTTCCCTCTCCTTCCCCTCCTCTACACCCAAGCGAGGAGCTGACGCGTGGTGGGGGAACAGGTCATGATGAGGGCGATGGAAAGCGAGGAGGGGGGGTGGGAGTGGGGGGTTCCGCTGTATTGCAGCCTTGGAGACATCTTTTACACGCCGAGGAGCCTTCTGTGCGGGTGGGAGACGCGGAGGGGGAAGAGAGGGGAGGCGCTTTCGAGGGAGTTGGGATGAGGGAGGACGAAGAGGGAGCAATGCGCTCGTTTGGGCTTTCGACGGACGAGCAAGGAGCACGATCGACTCCTTCCTTCGACCTCGAACGCGAGATGAGCTTCCGGACCTCCTCACTCGACTTCAATTCTCTCCCTCCTCATCCTCGACTCGACCTCTCGACTGAAGAAGAAGAACGTTTAGCGGACGAATGGGGCTTATCGGAAGTGATGTCGAACGTCGGATCTGAGGACGCACTGCGGGTGGAATTGGCGGGAGGAGCGGCGTTGGCGAGGTTTCCCAGCACGACGCGAAGCGAGGCTGGGATCCTCACTACTGTTCAGCGGGCGCCGCAGAAGGACGCGGAACAAGAGGAGGACGTCGAGGTGCTCGAGACCAAGTCGATGCCGGACCTTGACAGGCCAAGGACGATCTCCTTCGCGGATGCCGTCCTTGAAGGACTCGAGCAGCGGTTGCGCAATGCGCCTCCGCCTCGGGCTTCGTCTACTACGAGCGGAGATGAGACGAGTTCGACCGGCACGCGGGTGAAGATTCTCGAGCGGACGGCGACGCAGCGCATGAGAGCGCGAACGACGAGTCTCGGTCCACACGCAGGGATGGCCTCCCTCCCGAGCTTGTCGAACCTCGCAGGCGACGGATCCGTCGGTGATATCTCCAGCGGAAGGGGCGGAATCGCTACGCGCGACTCGCTCTTCCAGCGCCCGACATCAGTCTACACGACCCGCGCCAGCTCCATCGATGCGCTCAACCCCACTTCCGCCGCTGCTCGTCCCTCGATCGACGCCCTCTCACTCGTCCCTTCACGCCTCTCTTTCGCCCTTCCCTCCGACCCTCCCTCCGCCGCACCCGACCCTCCTCGCCCTTCAACGTCCCTCTCAACCTACACATCCCGCTTCGACCCGCTCGTCATAGCCGCCCATCGCGCGCAACTCGCGAAGGACCGACCAAAGTTCTCGAATGAAGAGGCTGGGAGGCCGCCGAGGGTGGTGGTTATGCCGGCGCCATTGGCGGGGAGGGCGCGGAGTCCGCCTGGGAGGAAGGGGTGGAGGGAGGGACCTGATTCGGGGTCGGAGTCGGATGACGCGGAGGCGGAGGAAGAGCAGGAGGAGGAGGAAGAGGAAGTACCGGAGGGCCTGAAGGACCCCCTCCATCCTGCCGGCGCCCTCTACGGCCGATCGCTGATGGACGTCATAGCCGAACGGAAGGCGATCCTCAAGGCTCAGCAGCGGGCGTACGTCCCTGGGTCGGACGGGCGGAAGAGTATGTTTGAGTGGAAGGACGGGCCTGTAACCGGGCGGCAGGAGGAGGAGGTAGAGAACGTCCCTCTTGCGCTCGTACCAGGTGGCCAAGCTGCCCTCGCAGCAGCAGCGGCGAAGAACCAGGCTCGAGCGACGAAAGTCAAGTCGATTTTCGGGCCGGACCTCGTTTATCAGCGCGAGTTGGCACAGATGCGGGAGTTGGAGGAGGCTGAGCGGGCGGAGAGGGAGGAGAGGGAAAGGGTGGAGGAGGAGAGGAGGCTTAGGGAGGAGGCGAGGAGGAGGAAGGGGAAGTTGCGGAAGGGTGGGAGGGGAAAGAAGGGCGAGCAGGCGGTGCGGGAGGCAGCTCCGCGTGTGCAGGACGCGGTCGAGTGGCAGCCGGAGACGGATGTTGCGGAGGAGGAACCGGTCGAGGTCGCAGCTCGTGCGTCCGCGTCGTCGCTCTCTTTCCCAGAGATGGATCCGACTGACAGATATGTCCGTCATGGCAGCCGCAGACGCTCCTGTCATGCGTCATGTGCCGCCCGTCGAACCGCCTGCTTCCCGCCAAATCGTGGCGCCGTCCATCTCCGTGCCCTTCGACGTCTCGCAGGCCGCAAGTCCCTCCGACTGGTTCGAAGAAGTCCTTGCCGACCCTTCAGCGACGAAGGAGACGGGTGACGCAGCATCAGACGAAGACGACGAGGACCTGTACAAGCCGCGCCCCGTCAGCTCGCTCGCCTCGTATCGTCGATCCAGCAGGGCAGCAGCTTTCAACACTCGCCGCAACACCTTCCTTCCCTCCGACTCGTCCTCTTCCGATGCAGACTCGGATGACCTCGAGAACTTCGCCTCGCCCGTCGACCCAGTGCCTTCCGGCGCGAATGGCGATCAGCGCCACCTCCCCTTCCCTGGCGAGCCTAGCTCGAACGGCCACGACTCTGTCTCGCAGGCCGAGACGCAGGACGATGTCCCGCTCGGCGTGCGGTACTCGCGGCAGGCGATGGCGCTGCCACAGATCCAGTCGACCGGTCTCGAAGATCTCTCACACCTGATACCGCAGGAGGAACATCGGGCAGGAGCGGAGGAGGCGGAAGACGAAGACGACGCACCTCTCGGCGCTCGCTTCTCCCGAGCGATGCCTCCGACGGACGATGGCGACGATATCCCGCTCGTCCTCCGACGCATCGCCCTTGCCCCATCCGCCGCCTTCGCACCTCGACCACCACCGCAGCCTTTCGCTAGCATCCGTCCTATCGGCGACGACGGCAAGACCGTCGCGAGCGACGATTCGGACGACTTGCCGCTCGGCCTCAAGACTGCTCCTACGGCTCCATTTGCTCATCAGCCGGCACCTTACTCGTTCCCTCCAACCATGCCCTACGGCGCGTCCGGCGCGCCTTTCCCTTACTCGACCTCGCAATTATCCCCGCCGCCTCTCGCTCCCACCTTCGCACCCGCCATCGCCCTGCCTCTCCCGCCAAACCCGCACGCGCAGCTCGCTCTCGCACAGATGCAGATGCAGGCGGCGATGCAGCAGCAGGCTGTGCTCGCGGAAGGTGGCTTAATTGAGCGCTGGAGGCGAGAGATATCGGGGTGAGGAGGACTGCTTCGACCACAGACACTCGTTCCCTGGCATTCTAATTGTTGTGTAGCTACTACGCTCGTCGTCCTGCATCACTTTTCGTTCCTTTCCCTTCGAAACTGATAACGGGTTGACACCGCGCGGAGAGGAAGACAACCCCGCGTGAGTTGTCCTCTCGCGCTCTCTTGCTCCTCACACCACAGCAATGGTCCGCTTGACAGGCTCGCTGGCTCTGCTAGCACTCGCTGCAGCACCCGCTGTCCATGCCGGCCCGCTCGCGCTCCTCCAACGAGCATCTGATGGCGCCGTCCGCTTTGGCTTGGGACGCGTCCTCCGGCTCAACGAAACCCAGATCGAGCGCCTGTTGAACCGAGACGGCAGTCCTCTTGAGCCTCATCCTCATGCTTGTGCGTCGCAGCGTCTCTCGAGGCCGTCTGACGAGGAGCTGACCCGGACCTTGGTGGGGGAAACCGACAGTCGACCTGACGGACGACAACTGGGAGACGGTGTTGGGCACGGCGACGTACGATAACCCGTACGCGGCGCCGGTTGGCCGGGAAGGTGTCTGGGTCGTCACAGTGCACGGAAACGACCCGTTCGTTCCTTTCCTCTCCCCTTCGCTGGGCTGCTCGCTCACTCTCTTGCTTCGCAGTGCGTCGAAGGTGTTTGTTGAGGCGATGGACGAGGTGGCGGCGCACAACTCGAGCGGCGCGGGAGGGACGTTGCCGGCCAACATGCGGTTCGCAAGGCTTAGCTATGCTCGCGAGACAATCCCGACGACAAAGTGGTGGATCTGGAAGTGCGGGAACCGCTCTGCGCTCACAAGAACCCCACTGACGGCTTGTTGACTCTACAGGACGCCCGTCATCGTCATTGGCACAAACAACATGCGCGAGCTGCGCTTTATCGAGCAGGGCCAGGTCCGCCCGAACGTCGCCACCTTGAGCGAGCTGTTCAGTCGGCCCGACGTCTGGGAGACTCTGCCCGTGTGGAAGGGCATGCTGGCACCGGGAGGGCGATTGTGCCTTTTCTCATTCCTGCTTTTGTGTGCGCAACAGGCGTAGGCAGTACGTACTGACTCTGCTGCCTTTCAGCGAGGACCGCCTACTGCGCTTTGCCAGGCTGTGGGCCAAGGTGCACGCCGGCTCGTCCAAGATCCCCAACTTTGTCCTTCTCGCTCTCTCGGGCTTCCTGATGAACTTCGTCGTTACTTGGGTAAGCTCTGACGCTCTCACCACTTGAGAAGCACGACTGACCACTGCTGGCGATCGCAGTTCCACAAGGACGACGCCAAGTTGCAGGCAGAGTACCGGGCGCGGGCGGCGAAGGAACAGCTGGAGGAAGCGAAGCTTGACGGGTGCGTTACGCTAATTCTGGCCGCGTCGGCGGAGGTCCTCATCGCTATCTACAGGGCTGCCACTTCGCCTGCACCAAAGACCGCTGCTACAACGGCGACTTCGAAGCGAACGACGAGGGCGAGCAAGCGGAAATGAGGTGGGTTTCGACGGGACAGCTTCGGGGTAATTCTGGGATCTTGATCACTGCATTACAATTCGTCTCAACGACGTATAATCATCCAGCGAGAAAGCGACCAGGAGACCGATGGCGCTCTTCGCTTCACGTCGAACTCGCCAACTCGCTCTCACCGCAGTTCCAGCTTCTTGACCTACTGAGCACGCTTCTCGGTCCTGACAGAACCTGCTATCGACTCGCCTGCGCCACCCCAACCCCTCTGACCGACACCCTCGCTCGAAGAAGCGATGCAGTGGGCGAGGAAGGTGAGTCGCCGGTCCTGCCCGTTTGCTCGCTCGTGCTGACCCTAGATCCCTACAGGCCGTCAACTACTACTCGTCCATCAACCCGGCGACGCTCACGGGCGCCATCGACGTGATTGTCGTCGAGCGCCCCACCGAGTCCGGCGATGTCGAGTTGGCGTGTTCTCCCTTCCACGTCCGCTTTGGAAAGCTGAGCGTGCTACGACCAGTCGACAAGAAGGTGCGTGTCCAGTCTTCCGACCCGCAGACTCGCTGGGAGGTGTCGGCGAACCCAACGTGCATCGTCTCATGACGCTCCTCTCGTGTCGAAAACAGGTCCGCATCCATGTCAACGACGAGCGCGTGCCATTCTATATGAAGGTTGGCGAGACGGGAGAGGCCTTCTTCGTCTTCGAGACCGAGGCGGACGTTCCTGCCGACATGCAGACCAGTCCTCTCAGCGGGCCAGTGTCGGACGATGGCAGAAGTGACAACGGCGAAGGAGTGCGTGCTTCAGTCTCCATATCGTCGCTAAAGTACTAACGCTCGCTGTGCAGGACATTGAAGCGCTCGACCTCGACGCTCCGGCTGTTGAAGCGGAACCCAGGGAGGCAGACGAGGACCGTGAGTTGCGCTGGCCCCTTCTCGTTCGCTCCTACGCTGACTAGAAAGCCAGAACCTTTGACGCCGACACCTTCGAATCCCTCCTCTCCCAACTCGTCTCGCTACGTCTCCCTCGCCGGCACACAAGCCAACTCGCCGACCGTCCCCTTCCGTTCCTTCCCTCCTACACCTTTCTTGCCGGCAAACTCCCACTCACGATCAGCCTCGATCGACCATGTCACAGCCGAGCCTTTGACAGAGTCGCCTGCGGACGAAGTGGACGACCCGCACGAGACGGCGAGGAAGAAGGCGACTCATGTCCCTTCTCCAGTCGCGCGGGCAGCCGAGAAGGCTGCAGGGATCGGCGCTGCGGCTTTCAACAAGCCGGCGCAAGGACTTCACGACGCGAGCCTTCGTCGGCAGGTTAAGGAGGAGGCGTCAGGCGGGAAGACAGGTCGAAGACGGTCAGCGCGAGACGAGTACGACTTGAAGGGCGAGCCGGCGGAGGTAGGACAGCCCGACGACCGCCTGCAGGCCGGTCTGAACGGTTTGAGCCTCGAGGAACACCGGGAGGGACAACAGCCGACAGATACGAGCGAGGAAACGGGTGATGCGGTCATTCGCGCGGCTCGGCACCGCAACGCCGACGTTCGCGCCCTTCTTGGTGGAAAGGACGGCCTCGGAGACGCTGTTGACGGGACTGGCGACCGACGGCCCAGCTTCTCGACTAAGCGGTTCCCAACCGGCGAGCTCAAGATTAACTCGGACCAGCTCTTGCGCGACGCGCAGGGTCACGAGTACGGCGGCGCGCCCGAGGACACAGGTGCTTTGATGCTTGACGTTAGCGGGTACAAGCTGGAGAGCGAGAAGGACGAGGAGAAGGGCAAGCTGAAGGGCGCGGAGCAGGAGCTGCGGGATGTCAACAGGCTGGAGCTGGACGAGAGTGCGTTCGGTCTTCCGCCGTACTTTGACCTGACCGACTTGACTGATGAGACCGTCTCCTGCAGAGAGCGAAAAGGAGGTCATGCTCTTCACCCAAGCGCTGCTGCAGTCGACCGATCCCAGCACCCTTCGTAACCTCTTCGGCGACGACGATCCCACCTCTCGAGCGAGCTCGCCCGTTCCCCCTCTTGACCTCGACAAAGCAGACGACTCGTCCGAACGCAGAATCGGCCCTCGTCCTCGCGCCAGCTCTCCCCGGCCAGTCTCCGTCTCCGACCTCCAGTCCATCCACGCCGAGTCCGACATCGCTTCTTCACCCGACGACGGCGTATATCACGCCACGCCGAAGCAGTTTACGCTCAGGACGGGCGGGACGGTTCACGTCTTCGAGCTGAGCCTGTGCGGAACGGATGCCTTCGCGCAGGTCAACAAGGTGCGTCATTCCTCCTTGCCGGAAACCTAACTGTCACTGACCATCGGAGACATCACAGACCGTCGCCGACCGCCTCTTTGCCGAGCACCAGATCACGTTCAACGAGTTCCTCGAGCAGGACTCGATTTCGGATAATCCCGACCTCGTCGTCAAATACGCTGGCCGCTACCTCACCTGGGACAACGCCTCACCTGTTCTCGCATCCCTCGCCGTCTACCGCAAGTCGCTCGTCGCGCACCCGGAGCACCACCGTCACGCCGACACGACGACCGACGAGCAGGGCAAGACGCACCGGCGAGGCTGGAGCTTGTGGTGGGGACGAAGCCGGACGAGCACTGCCGACACCATGTCGACCGCCAGCGCGCCCATTGGCGAGACCTCCCCGCCGACAAGTCCGCCCATCAGCCCTCCCGGCACGCCCAAGTCCTTGCCCGTCTCGGACGCAAACGACTCGGTCCCTCCGCTCCCTCGCCACGACGACGACGAGTTCCCGCCCGAGGACCACAGCAAGCACTATGCTAAGACGCTGCGCTTGACGTCGGATCAGCTGGTGAGTCGCCCCCTGTACTTGATCCTGACCAACCCTGACTCTCTTCGCCTGCAGAAAACGCTAAAGCTGAAGAAGGGCATGAACACGATCTCTTTCTCGGTCCGCTCGTCGTACTCTGGCATCGCAACCTGCTCCTCGCGCGTCTTTCTGTGGGAGTCGGACTTCCAGGTCGTCATCTCCGACATTGACGGTACCATCACGAAGTACGTCTCATGCTTCTTCGAGATTTCTCAGTGGTACCTCACACACCTCGACGCTCAGGTCCGACGCGCTTGGCCACGTCTTCACGATGATCGGCCGCGACTGGACGCATCTCGGTGTCGCCAAGCTCTACACCGACATCAGCCGCAACGGGTACAAGATGATGTACCTCACGTCCCGCGCCATCGGGCAAGCCGACACGACGCGCGAGTACCTCAAGGGCATCAAGCAGAACGGCTTCCAGCTTCCGGACGGCCCCGTCATCATGAGTCCCGACAGGCTGATGACTTCGCTTCATCGGTGCGTCCCGCCTCGCTTCCGCTTCTGAGGCGGCACTGACTGGAGCCGTCTCACAGCGAGGTGATCATGCGCAAGCCCGAAGTTTTCAAGATGGCGTGTCTGCGTGACATCCAGCGCCTCTTCGGCGACCGCTCCCCCTTCTACGCCGGCTTCGGCAACCGCATCACGGACGCGCTGTCGTACCGCAGCGTCGACATCCCGTCGTCGCGCATTTTCACCATCGATTCCAACGGCGAAGTCAAGATGGAGTTGCTCGAACTTGCAGGCTACAAGTCGTCGTACATACACATGACCGACCTCGTCGACCAGATGTTCCCGCCAATCAACCGCACGAACGCGCCCGAGTACACCGACTTCAACTTCTGGCGAGCGCCGCTGCCCGCCTTCGACATCGACATCCCCGAACTCGCGCCTCCTTCGCCCGCCCTTTCCGCCCGCTCCGACCAGTCGACTTCGCGCATCTCCCTTTCGCGTCTCGGTAACCTCGCCAGCTCCCTGTCACGCCGTTCCTCCCGCAACGCCCTTAACGATGCGTCGTCCGTCACGTCGGGCGGCACGAACCGCAACGTTCGCGGTGCGACGCCAACCAGCCCGCTTCTTCAGGCCACCGTGCCCGAAGAACACGGCGACGATGAGGCGGAGATCGGTGATGACGAGAGCTTCCTCGGCAACCGCAGCCGCAGCTCGTCCATGCCCGGCAGCTTCGACGAGAGCGACTTTGACCGGTACCGCGCGATGGCAGGCGACCGCAGCGGCGCCAAGTCGACGACGAGCGAGGCCGAGGCGTACAAGAAGAAGGTGCAGGGAGGAGGGCAGGACGCGGACGAGGAGGAAGAGGAGGACGAGGAAGTTCCCGAGGACATGGATGCGGAGGTCGACGACTTTGGCGACCAGCTCGACTTTTCAAGCGTGCCGGTGCGTTCACGCCTGCCTTCTTCCGCCGTGTCTGCTGGCTGACGTGCTTTCTCCGCCAGTACCTCTGAAGACGCGCGCCGACAGACACTCTTTTCCCCTTTCGCTCCTCCTTAGTTCGTAGTTCCTGTTCGTTGGGTCTCTGTTGTACTCGATACTTGTCTCGCAATGTAAAGCTCGCGTAGGATGGATTTTGGCGCGGAGATTTGAGGGAGTCGCCCGTCTTCACGCTGCTCTTCCTCCGCCAACGTCCCGCTTCTCTCGATGCGCACCGCTTCGCTCGTGCAGCCTGCTCTGTGGCTCTTCGCTTGGTCTGTGTACTCGTCTCCAGCTCGTGCGGAGCTCGCACCAGCTGGCAGCGGTCCTCATGACGCCCTCTCACAACACCCCGCGATTCGCCGCGACGACGTGCAATTGCTGCTGGAGCGAGCAAGGCAGTCTGTAGAAGAAGCGGCAGGCGAGGACGAGGACCTTGGGAGCGTCAAGGTGGTCAGGGAGACGTTCGAATTCCCGGTCGGTTCGAAAGTGGGGAGGAGGGCAGGGGGAGATGGAGGGACAGGCTCGCCCACTGTGCAAGCTTCGACGAAGCCAAAGGAAGCAGCAGACATCCTGAGGACGGTCGGGAAGCTCAAGGGTGCGTCCTCTTCGCTCTTCCACCTCCTCCTGCTAACGACTCTTTCCCTGGACGACAGCGTTGCGCCCTCTTTTCACCTGGGCAGTCCACCATCCCCTCCGCTTCCTGTATCACTACATTCTCGTCCCCATTGCCAAGCTCCTCCTCCTCGCCCTCACCACACTCCTTCGCCTCCTCCTCGCGCTCGTTCTCGCCGCCGTCTCGCCAATCCAATCCCTCTTCTCCCTCGCCACGACGCCCCTCATCGTCGCATGGAGCGCATTCACGGCCCTCGCGCCTCTCTGGTGGGCTCTCGGCGGTGCCTTGACCTTCGGCGCAGGACTTGGTCTTGTCGCAGGACTTGTCGCAGGCCGCACGACTCGCGAGATCATCGACGACACGGTCGACCGGACGACGAGGACGCTGAGGTGGCTTGGCGTGTTGGAGAAGAAGCGCGAGGCGGGACCGGGTGGGTATGGAGAAGGCGCGAGGCTTGAGAAGGTGCCGTCGGCGCCAGCGAGGAGGATGAGCGACAAGGCGAGGGGCAAGCAGCGCTCGGACGAGTTCAGCGGTCTCGTGGATTATGAGGCTTCCGATGCGCCGCCCACCCCAACCATCAGTACTTCGTCTCGCCTCAGCCCGCTTCTCCAGCGCTTCAAGCGTGAAGCTACCGCCTACTCGGGTGCGCGCGGTGAGGGTCCCGCATACGTCGACTACTCGCGACAGGGAGGAGGAGTGGCTTTCGCAGAGGAGAATGAGGGGAGCAGCTGGAGGAGGCGCGAGGTGGACTTCTGAGACCGTCCGCTTGTTGTGTGCAACTTGATGCTTTACTTAAGCGACTCTCGGACTGGGCGGCGAGAGGCGATGAAATTACTATGATGCAGCGAGCGCGAGACTGGAGAACGACGAAGCGAGAGGAAACTATGCGCGCGATGAGGAGAGGCTAAATGAGCGGCGAGGAATGAACAGGCGAGCACGAATGCGTGAGAGGGATGTCGGCGGAAAGGGTATGGTCATGAACTATGGAGGGTTGAGGTAGACGATGTACAAGCGAAAGGAGAGGCAACAAACAGGTGGGATAGAACGAAGGGCAACGAACTGATGGGATGCGAGGGGTGCAACTGGGTGGGTATCCGGAGATGGAGGAGATAAGTGTACTGGCACGGATGAATGGACGATGGAAAGTTGGGTACAAGCGAAAGGTGAACGAGGGGGATGCACGGAATCAGCCGTCAAAGCCGAAGGGGGAGAACGAGCCGCCGTAGTGCGTCGACGGCGCTGCTGCGGGAGGCAGAGGCGCGGCGGCGTAGCTCGGACCGCCGCCAAGCGAAGGCGCGGGACCGCCGAGCGGCGACAAGTGCGGCATGGCGGGCGACCTGGCGATGCTGCCGAGAGCAGTGGCGTACGGGGAGTCGCCGTAGATGGGGTCGGGCGGGCGACGGTGCGGGTCGTAGGGGGCCGAGTCGTAGGGGCCGACGACGGCCGACGAGGCAGGGTACGGCGGTGCGCCGCCGTACG